AAGGTTAAGTCTTCATGACCTTGGATTTGGCAAGGGATTCTTAGATATGACACCAAGAACATGAGTAACAACAACAAAAGATAAACTAGATTTCTTAGAAATTAAAGGCTTTTGTGCACCTAAGACATTATCCCCAAAGTGTAAGGATAATCTATAGGATGGGAGAAAGTAGTTGCAAATCATAAATTAGATGAGGCTTTAGATCCAGGACACATATAAAGAACTCTTAGAGCTCAACAACAATAAAGAAAACCAAACAAGAATAGTCAGAGTACTTGGATAGATATTTCTCCAAAGAAAATTTACAAATGATTAAGAAATATATGAAGAGGGGCTCAACACCATGTCATTAGGGAAATGCAAATCGAAACCATAATGAGGTACCACTTCACAAGTACGAGAATGGATTAAATTTGTCTTTAAAAATAGGAAGTATCAGGGGCTAGCAAGGGTGTGGCAAAATCGGAACCTTTGTGCATTGCTTGTAGGACTGTAAATGGTTCCACTTTGGAAAAGATCAGAAGTTCCTCAGAAGTTTAAATATGTAATTACCATATGATCCTGTAATTCCACTCCTAGATATATACTATACCATGGTCTGAATTATGATCCCCCAGAATTCATATATGGAAGCCCTAACCCTCAATATTTGGAGTTGGTATTTAGGGAGGTAATTAATATTAAATGAGGACATAGGGGTGGGGCCCAATTTGGAGGACAAAGGATGTGTGGTCTTTTAAGAAGGGTAAGAGAAAGAGATCCCTCTCTGAACAACAAGAAGAGGTCACGTGTGCACACAGTGAGATGGCAGCTGCCGACAAGGCAAGAAAAGAGGCTACAGAATGAAACCAATCTTGCTGGCACCCTGATCTTAGAATTCCAGGGCTCCAGAACCATGAGAAATAAATGTGTTGTAAGCCACCCAGTCAGTAGTAATTTGTGATAGCAGCCTGAGCGGACCAAGGCATCCAAGAGAACAGAACTCTGGTGCTCCTGTAAGTCCATGTATAAGCATGTTTACAGCAGCACTAGTCATGTAGCTAAAAGGTGGAAACCGCCCAAACATCTATCAATGAATGAATGGATAAACAAACTGTGGGATATACATACAATGGAACATTATTCAGTCCTAAAAGGAAATGAAGTATTTCTTACTGGAATAAATATTTTTTTTAACTTTTATTTATTTATGATAGGCACACAGTGAGAGAGAGAGGCAGAGACACAGGCAGAGGGAGAAGCAGGCCCATGCACCGGGAGCCCGACGTGGGATTCGATCCCGGGTCTCCAGGATCGCGCCCTGGGCCAAAGGCAGGTGCCAAACCGCTGCACCACCCAGGGATCCCTTACTGGAATAAATCTTGAAAACATTATGCTTAGTAAGAGAAGCCAGACATAAAAGGTCACAGTATATGATTCCATTTATGTGAAATATCCAGGATACGTAAATCCATAGACAGAATGCAGATTAGAATTTGCCAGGGGCTGAAGGGAGAGGGTACAGGGGAACACTGTTTGATGAGCAAGGGGTTTTACTTTTGAGTGATGGAAATATTCTAGAACTAGATGGCAGTGATAGTTGCACAGCATTGTGATAGTACTAAACGGGGCTGCGTCGTTTACTTTAAGAGGGTGAGTTTTATGTTATGTAAGTTTCACCTCGATAAAATATTTAAAAAAAGATCCAGGGGTGGTGTTCCCTGTCTTAGTCAGGATGGAATGAACTTTAAGGAGCAGGTGGTTCTAAGCATGCGAGGGTGGGTGGCCGTGGATGGCGCTGGCACCCTGGCTGAGCACTCCTGGCTGCTTTGGGAGTTGATGGGTAAACCTGCCCTTCCCCAGGAGCATTGCCTTGCCACCTCAGCAGCCACTCTGCCCTGGAGGCCGGGTGCCATCCCCTCCTCGCCCTCCGCCTCCCACACTTGCTAACTGCCACAAAAAGTCCCCCCCCCCCAAGTGGGACCAACTCTGCGGGGCAGTTTGTCCTCTACAGCTTCCCTGGGGCAGGGGACACAGAAGCTGGCCTCCTGTCCTCTCCTGCTCCCCTCTCCACTCTAGGGAACTTGATGCAAGATGGTAACATAATTTTATGAATTTTATGGTATTTGAATATCTCAATAAAGCCATTGTGTTAAAAAATACTTATTAGTCATCTACAACACCAAAGGGCTTTTTTTTTATTTTTTTATTTTTTTTTTAAGATTTTGTTTATTTGACAGAGAGGTGAGAGAGCACAAGCAGGGGTAAGGGGCAGAGGGAGAGGGAGAAGCAGGCTGCCTGCTGAGCAGGGATCCCATCTCAGGACCGTGGGATCATGACCTGAACTGAAGGCAGGCAGACACTTCCCCAACTGAGCCACCCAGATGCCACCCTCCTCCTGCTCCCCCCCCCCAATAGTTTTTAAAAGCTCAGGGTAACAGATTCCTCAAAATCTCAGGTCAAGTTATATCTTTTTCATTGAAATTATTAAGTATTAGTAATTTAAAGGCAAATAAGGTTTGTTTTTGTTTCTTGTTCTTTCCAAATACTCATTCTTTTTAAAACGCTAAATTCCAGGGCACCTGGGTGGCTCAGTGTGTTAAGCGTCTGCCTTCAGCTCAGGTCATGATTTTGGGGTCCTGAGATTGAGCCCCATGTCAGACTCCCTACTCAGTGGAGAGTCTGTTTCTCCCTTTGCCTTTCCCCGTTTATGCTATCTTTCTAATAAATAAAATCTTAAAAAAAAGCAAAATTCCATTGCAATGATTTCTATTACAGCAGAACTGACCCAGTTGCCCTTGCCTCCCTCATTCATCTAACTGATGGTCACAAGTTTTTTTGTGGATTTTTGCTCAGTGAGATCCAGACCCATAAGCATGCACAAACATGCAAGGTTTATGTTAATTCAAACTTTACTATAAAAATGAAAACAACAGAAATGATGATGCACAAGATGATCATACACACTAGTGAACACGTGTTGGAGAGAAGTGGGAAAGGCAATAGGGCAGCCCTTCCCCTTGCCCCATGAGGCAGTACCCACCACAGTCCTAAAAAAAAAGGCAGGAAAGTATCATCTGCTGATGTCGGAGCTTTAAAGGGAAGTTCTTCTTACAATCTAGATGGGTGTGCTCCGTGGTACTGGCAAGGGTGGCAGGACTTGTTACCTGTTTCCCTGGGCTGTACCAGCAAACCTGTCCAAACTGGGCCTCAGTGGGCCAGTGAGACACGGGTGCCCAGAAAAGCTCCTGAAAAGGTTGGGGGATCAAAACCATTTCTAAAAAAAAGTTGGTTGGGAGACTAAAGAGGAAAAAGAATGGATGCCCCACAAATCTGTATGGGTGGGAATAGGGGCCATCAGGGATTAGAAATCATTCCCTTGGTGGAAAGGCAATGAATAAGCCCTGAGGTCAGTTCTGGGAGAGAAAACACACCTCCATTTCCTTTTATTTGAGACACACAAAGCTCTTCCCTGCCTCTGTGCAGCCTGGGGAGGCTTAGGCTACTGATCCCTAATTTTGCTTCAGGGTTTGCTGCTCTCAGGATCTCTCACACCTGTCGAGGGTGCTTGCTGCTGCAGACTCCCCGCACCCCCATCCCTGGGCGCAGGGGAGGGTCAGCTGTGGAAAGGACAGGAATCCTGGGCCAGGGCAGTGGGGGAGGGAGACGGTGAGGAGGATGGCCTGCAACAGTGCTTCTGTTCATAGCTAGAGGGTGGCTGAGTGGAGGGTATTCTGAAGGATACCCCCCTCCCCAAAGTCCATGCATAGAGGCTTCCTTCTCTGACTCAGGAAGGGGAGGGGCTCTCCGTGCTGCCACGCTGCTCTTGGTCTGGTGCATCCTCCTCCTTCTGCTCCAAATCAAAGTTCTGTGGACAAGGCTGTGGGTGAGGCCTGGCCCTGAATCTGCCCAGCGTGGCTCTGGCACTTCCAGGGGCGCAGACACAACGAGCATGTGCCGCCTACTGGCTTACGTTCCACATCCCTCTGCAGAGAGGCTGTCTTCTTTAGCCCACCCAACATTTCGGCCTGACCTACCTCAAGCTCCTGCAAAACCTCGTCCATGAAGTCCCGGGAGTTGTGTTTGTAAGACACAGCTAATCGAATCGCGTCATTGAAGAGCTGGGGATAGGGTGAGGTGGCGGGGAGAAGACACGGCTGTGGGTCCCTGTGCCCTGTTCTGGTCCTGTGTCCACACAACACTCCACCCCTAAAGTCAGCAAGGTCACCCCTCAATTCACCTTCTCCCAATAAATGTACTTTCTCTCACCAAGCCCAGGCCCATCACCTCCCCTACTGTCAGAACAATGATCCTTTCCTATCACCCCTGGCTCTGGCTTGCCAACTCACAGCCCCTGCAGCAATGCCTGTCCTCCCCACTGTCCCTGCAGCCAGCCCTCCTCTTAGTAGCTTCCCTGATCCCTTGACCACTTGGCCTTCCCTAAGCTCTGCAGTCCACCATTACCTTCACAACATTGGTACCATCAGCAGCTGAGACAAAGTACAGGGGGAGGGAGAACTTCCTGGCAAAACTGAAGCTCTTTTGGGTCATCTTTATGTCTGCTGTAGAGAGAAGGGAGGACACTGGCCTGTCATCAAGGGAAAGGGAGAGGGTTTTGCAGAGTGGGTCACTAGAGACAATTCCAGAAAGTTGGACAGACAGGGACAATCAGGGGACATGTCCTAGGAAGAGTTCATGGAACAGGGAACTGTGTCTTGGGAAGAGGGAAGATTGGCTCAGTTGGCATCTTTACTGGAAAGAGACTGATGGCAAGCAAATAAGGGCTGTAATTTGGGGGGAAGGACAGATCATTGAAGGTTTACTGTCCCAGGAATAGAGGAATAAACATGTGGTGGTGGGTCCCCCATGGATTGTGGACACCCAGATGCAGGGATGACCCCACCATCAATTTTATTGGCCACCAGGATGCATGGGATCTCTGGCCTGAACTCCCGAAGCTCTGTATACCAGGTGCTCAGGTTCTTGTAGGTTACCTTCCTCTGCACATCAAACACCTGCAACGAACAGAGGAAGGAAAACAGCTTAGGTGTGTCAGGGTCTGCATACCACCCACACCTGACACACACACAAGCAGCTGGGCGGCTTTGGGGCTGCCCTTCTCAGGGAAGCCCCCAGAACCTCCAGACCCAAAAGTGGTTTTTAAAGTTTACTTGTTTTATTTTGCCACCTAATCCTGTGTACCTATTTTTTTTTAAAGAATTTATTTGAGAGCGAGCAAGAGAGAGAGCATGATTGGGGGGAGGGGACAGAGGGAGGAGCAGACTCCTCACAAAGCAGGGAACCTGATGTGAGACTCAATCCCGGGCCCTGGGATCATGACCTGAGCTGAAAGCAGACACTTCACAGACTGAGCTACCCATGTGCCCCTGTGTACCTATTTTAATCGAGATGTATCATAGTACTAATCAATATAGTCTGTTACAAATTGTAATTTTTTTCTTAGCCTATTATTGCTTAAACTGTGTCTTAAAATTACTTTGTGGGTCCCCGAGGTGGCTTAGTCAGTTGGTTGAGCAACCAACTCTTGGTTTTGGCTCAGGTCACGATCTGCAGGTTGTGAGGACAAGCCTTGCACCGGGCCCCATGCACAGTGTAGAGTCTGCCTGAGAGTCTCCCTCCTCTCCCTCTGCCCTTCCCCTATCTTGCATGCACATGCTCTAAAATCAATCAATCAATCAATCTTTAAAAAATTGCTGTTATAATTTCAAGTGCTTCTAAAGTTTCTATGTAGTTACTATTGGTGTACCTTTTTTTTATTTTTTAAAGATTTTACTTATTCATCTGAGACACACTGCAAGCAGGGGGGACGAGGAGAGGGAGAAACTCCTGCAGACTCCACACTGAGAACAGCCCGATGTGGGGATCCATCTGACCACCTGAGAGCATGACCTGAGCTGCAATCAACTGACTGAGCCACCCAGGCACCCACCATCAATGTGCTTTTAATTTTAAACTTTTGTTTAATCTGTTGTTCATTTTGTATTTTAAACCTTTTAAAAGTAATTTTAATCTATTATTCTTATTTTGAGGTGGTTGACATCTTTATTGCTTTGGAGTTGGGCGGGTGGCTTCCTCTTCCCCAGCAGGGGATCCTAGCTACGCAGGATGGCGCTGGCCCTGCGAGTGGCCAAGGTGCACACATCTGGGCGATGCTTGTTCTTGCACATCTGCCCGGTGCTGCAGAAAGTGGTCTGCACGCAGGAGGTGGCGAGTTGTCACCGGCTGGATCTCCACCTCCGGAGCACCATTACACCTTGTCTTCGGGTGCCAGCTCCACGCCGCAGTCTTGAGGCGAACTGGACCCTTGAAGGGAAGGAGCTGCGAGCCCTCAGGATACTAAGGCTCAGTGCTGGACGTCTGCTTCATCCTCTTGATCAGGAAGCTGGAGCAGTTCTGCACGACCATCCACTGCAGGAGGGTGGACATGGTAGCAGCTCCTCTTACTACAGTGGCCGGAGTTGGAAAGACTATCTTTTATTATCTTGTAGCTTATAAGTTGATTAACATTTTATGATTTATAGTTTTTATCTGCTTTGAAATATTAGCCATAAGCATGAGCACTACAGACTCGCTCTAAGGGCAGGGGAGGCCAGAAGTCCTGAGATGCCTGGAATTACTGCTGCAAGGATGGAGTCCTTCAAACCCCTGGTGGGAGCTCCTTAAAAGCCAGCCTCCTGCTTCTAAGCCATCCTCTGGGATGGGCTCACATCACAGGCCCAATCTGCCCAGCACAACAGTGGATCATAGTGGACAGCCCTGTAACCTGTTAGAGTGGCTGCTTTTCCTTCTGAACCACCCAGTCCTTCATGGGAGCAAATGGACCTCACCCAGCACCAGGGGCTTGCCCTGGGTTTGGGTTAGCAGCTGTCACGGCTGAGGCAGCAGGAGGTCCACCTAGGAGGCTCTTCCAAGGTACACCCAGGCCCCATTTCAACAAATGACCATGTTGTCTTGAATTCCCTATAAAGCACACTTGTAATGAATCTTCTGGAATCTGCTTTACATCAGGCTGCCTCCTATGATCATCATCAGTCACCTGGTCTTTCATGCAGGTCTGATTTCCTGAGCTACTTCTGTTTGTTTTGAGAGCTGAAGAAGTGCTGGCTGGGATGAGGAGCATCCCCATTAGGGTTTCAAAGTGGACAGTGGGACAACAGTCCCAACTCCCTCTGGGACTATCAGATCCCCTAAGGTCACCACAAGGTGAGCACTTTCTTTCTTTCTTTCTTTTTTTTTTTTTTAATAAATTAATTTTTATTGGTGTTCAATTTACCAACATACAGAATAACACCCAGTGCTCATCCCGTCAAGTGGTGAGCACTTTCTACCTGCCAGGCCCCATGCAGCAGACAGCTGCACATACAGGCATGTAGGAATGCTGGCAGGACAGACACCCCCAGGTGTCATTTGGACCCTCAGAAGAGTGTCCCAATGGAGCCAATGGAGAAGTTACTCCCTCCTGCCTTGGAGGGAGAATGGAGGTAAGCTCATTGCTCCAAATGCCAGTGCAGAACTGAGACAAACATGGCCGGCTCTCCCTGGTTCTCCAGGGTCAGAGACAGTTGCCTAAGTGAGCCTCCAGATGAGGCACTGCCCTGCACTGCCGCCATGTGCCCTACCCAGTCAGCTTCTCGTTCTGTCCTCTTATAGGTACCAATATTACAATTTGGAAAATTTCAAGAGATTTTATGTTAGGGATTAGTGGAGTCTGTGAATGGAGCCAGGGCTCTGGGCAGGAGGCCCTCAGGACATAGGCTTGCACAGCCCTCCTGTGCTTCTCTGCTTCTTCCTCGGGTATTGTTATGACACTTCTGACCCTGTAGCTATGGGGAACCCCTAAAGACTGTGTTCTAGACAGCACAGAGGAGAAGGGCTGGTTTGGGAGCAGCATCAGGTGACAGTCGAGGGGGCCTTGGGAGCCTATCTGGGTAGGTGGCTCCATCAGGGAAGGACTATATTTACCTCTTAGATGCCATGCCTGATGCTGAGGCCCTGGATGTGCTTCACCCCCTGGATGAGGGTTCCTCATCCAGCTCCACTTGAAGAGAAGCTCACTTGGGCATGTTCTCACTGAGAAACCACCCCAGACTTCCCTGATGCCCTCTCTCCTAGTACCCAGCCTCGGTGAGGGCTCAGCACTGCTGGGTGACCCGTCAAGCTTGCCCAGAGCCTTTGATCACTGCCCAGCTGGTTTCATACCATGATGCAGGCATGGGCCTTGTAGTAGTAGGAGGCATGCATGCTCTGGAACCGCTCTTGGCCTGCTGTGTCCCAAAAGTCTGCAACATAAACACAACTCTGTCTGATGGGGTTGGAGGGCAGAGAGACCCAGACACCCTGATTTTCTCTGTGCTGACCTCTGTGCGAAACACAACATGTGGGGGAAGACACGGAGGAACAAGACCATACAGCTCACATATATGTGTCTTCAGGACACAATGCACCTGGGTGTGCCATGGGAGGTCTGTGTATGCCTGTGTGCCTGGGGGTGGGTAAGAGGGAAAAGAGGGAAACATATAGCCAGGCCAGGAGGAGGGAGAGTGTAGACAGGAAGTCCCAAAAGGGAGAAGGTAGGTTTCCCCGCCCCTGCCGAACAAGATGCAAGGCCCTCCAAGGTCGAAACTAGGCTGACTTCCCACGAGTGTGGACCACAGATGATAGATAGGCACAGCCAGGCAGGATGCATGGCCTAGCCAAGCAGGAGGTGGTAGTGTCATACAAAGTCAAAACCTTTTGTGGAAGATAATACTCAGACTACAGTTGTTATTTCTTTACACTGGCTATATTAGAATACCAGGTCAGAGAGCTGGAACTGAGGCCTGTGTGCCTCCTCGCCCCTCCCTGGCCTCTGGGCTCTCAGGGTCCTCCCTATCAACCCTCCTCTCCACTGGGGGTTTCATTTCCTCCCTGTCTGACTCTCTCCCACAGACTTCTCTACCCTCCCCACCCCTTCCCCTTGAAAGTCCATGGCCCAGCCATGTGCTGCTCACCTACAAGGATGGTCTTGCCGTCCACCATGGCCGTGTGCTTATACAGGGTCAGGGCGTATGTGGACAGCTGCTGTGGCCGACTGCATTCACATTAAGGAATAGAGATGAACAAAAAGGAAGGCATGGAAGGTACTTGGTGGGGGAGGGCACTGGTGTGATGAAACTGGCCCTCTTCTTTTTCTTTCTGGAGTTCTTTATAAATTGAATGAATGTTGCAGGCAGAGGATCAGATTTAAGTATCACTGGCACAAACTCTGTGGAAAGGCAAGGGGCAGGAAAAGCTGGGGGTGTGTCCTGGCCCTCTAAGTAACAGGGACAACATGGAATGGAACTTTACAGAGAAGCCATCATAAACAGCATGTTGTTGGAAAATGCAACCATGGGTGCCCCAGCCCCTTTATGGATTGGGCTCCTGGAGGCCAGAGAGGAAACCCAGCCTTAGGCAGCACCATGATCATCCAGGGGGAAAAGCCTCCACAAGCCAGACAGCTGACAGACTGTTTATGAACTGCCTGTGTGAAACCCTGACAAAGAGCCTGGGGAACGAGACTTCCTGAAGCTGCAGAGCACAGGGTGGTTTCATCAGCAAGCTGGGAGGATACAGGCAGGCGAGGGCAAAAGAACACTTGGTATGAGGTGAAGCAAGATACACTCAGATTCCACCTTGGGGGGCTGGGGGCCAGGGTCCAGGGCCCAGGGCAGGGAGTGGGGCCCCTCCAGGGCTCTCTTCTGCCATAGTTCCCAGTAGATTCACCTGGGAAGCCTTTTAAATCCATCCTGGTTGCCAGGGAGTGCCTCACTCCAAACCTAGACAATGTGGACAATCCATGGGAGGAGGGAGCAGCTCCTAATTTACGAAGTTCATTCATATCAGAGAATTTTAAGATATTAGCCCAAGTTTTGAGGTCAGAGAGGTTAAATGGCTTGCCCAAGGCCAGAGCTACCAAGAAGGAGGAGGTGGAGTTTGAATCCAGGCATGTGATCAAGTGCTGGTAGCCGACCTACTGTGTTCCTAATATAAAGCAAATGCAAATATGAGTAAGCTCCGAATACACAGCATCAGTTATGCGTGCTGCCAGCTGGTAAGGAGCAAGTATGCATGAAACCTGTGCATTCACTCACCTATCTCTCCTCCCTGGACCACTGGAGCAAAGGGGTAAACAGTGAGGCTGAGCTGGCACAACGGAGAAAGGGCACAGGAACGAGGAACAAACCGTGAAGGATACAATCCATCCATGAGAAACCTCTCCATAAGTCTGTAAGGACAGTGCGTAAGGTGGTCAGGTACATCTTCCAACCTCCCTGCTCCTTGCGCCACAGCATCAACCTGTCCAGGCTAACAACCTAGGGCCAACTGCACCCACCCCCTATGTCACTCCACAGCCAGAATTTCCCTTTGGGAACTGCCCTCCAACCCTCTTCCTGAGTCCTAACACCAGCACATATGCAAGAAAATTAAATAAAAGGCATCCGAAAGATGGAAGTAAAATTATTTTTCTTCATAGATAATTTTATAGAAAACTCTAAAGAGTCCACAAAGAAAGTAATAGAGCTAATGAATTCAACAAAGTTGGAAGATATAAAATCCACACACAAAAATAAGTTGTATTTCTATACACTGGCAATGAGCAATATGGAAAGGAAATTTAACCAATGAGACATAATACTTGTACACTAGAACTATAAAACCCTGTGGAAAGAAATCAAACAAGACCTAAATAAATGGAAAAACATCAGTCCTTATGGATTAGAAGGCTTACTGTTGTTAGATAGATAAACTTGCCCAAAGCAAAGTTCCCAGCCCCTTTATGGATTGGGCTCCTGGAGGCCAGAGAGGAAACCCAGCCTTAGGCAGCACCATGATCATCCAGGGGGAAAAGCCTCCACAAGCCAGACAGCTGTCCACAGACTCAACCTAATCCTTATTCAAGTCCCAAAGACATTTTTGCAGAAATAACACATCTCAAAATTCATATGGGATTTTTAAAAAAGAGTTTATTTATTTATGAGAGGCAGAGACACAGGCAGACAGAGAAGCAGGCTCCATGCAGGGAGTCCAACGTGAGATTCAATCGAGGGACTCCAGGATCATGCCCTGGGTGGAAGGCAGGGGCCCAACCGCTAAGCCTCCCAGGCATCTCAATTCATATGGAATTTCAAGGGATCCTAAGTAGCCAGAACAATCTTGTGAGAGAGTAACAAAATTGAGGAAATCACACTTCCCTGAGGTCAAGACTTCATACAAAGCTACAATACTCAACAGTGTGGTACTGGCATAAATATGGACATACAAACCAATTGAATAGAGAGCTCAGAACGAAACCCTCACATATGGTCAAATGATTTCTGACAAGGGTGCCAAAGACCATTCAATGGGAAAGGAAGAGTCTCTTAAATGATGTTATGAAAAGTGGACATTCCCACGCCAAAGAATGAAGGTGGATCCCTTCCCTCACACCATATACAAAAGTTAACTCAAAATGAATCAAAGACCTAAACTTAAGAGCTGAAACTATAAAACTTTTAGAATATAAGATCAAATCTTCATGATAATCCCATAAGATCAGATACTTAGACCAATGGAACAGAACAGAGAGCCCACAAATAAACCCAAGCATATATGGTCAAATATTTGACCAGAAATAAACCGAGAATACACAATGGAGAAAGGATGATCTCTTCAATAAATGGTGTTAAGAAAAATAGAAATCCATGTACAAAAGAATGAAACTGGATCTCTATCTTACATCATTCACCAAAAATGATCACCAAAATAAGCCTAGTTAACAGCCATCACCAAACATAGCTATAGAATTTTTTTTTTCTTGTGATGAGAACTTCCAGATTACTCTCTTAGCAACTTTCAGATATGCAGGACAGTTAATATTGCTATTAACTATAGTCACCAGGTCACACATTACATTCCTACAACTTACTTATTTAAACTGGAAGTTTGTTCCTTTTGACCCCCTTCACTCCCAACCCTGCCGGCACCTCTGGCAGCCACCCACCTGTTGTATCTATGAACTTACATCTTTCCTCCTCCTCCTCCTTTCTCTTCTTCTTCTTCTCCTTCTTCTTTTTTTTTTTTTTTAAGATTCCATGTATATGTAAGATCATTCAGTATTTCTCTTTTTCTGACTCATTTCACTTAAAATAATACCCTCAAGATCCATCTTGTCACAAATGGCAAGATTTCCTTCTTTTTAAAAGGCTGAATAATATTCCATGGCACAGAGACATGGGAGGTGTTGGTCAAAGGCTATAAACTTATAAGATGGATAAGTTCTGAGGACCTAATGCACAGCACACTGACTACAGTTAACAACACTGCATCATGTCCTTGAAAGCTGCTAAGAGATTAAATCTTCAGTGTTTGTCACACACCCACACACAAAAAAAGATAACTACGTGAAGTGATGGATGTGTTAACAAATCTTACTGTGGCAATCATTTTGCACGTATGTAGGTATGTTAAATCATGGCATACACCTTAACAATCTCAAATATCAATTACATCTCAATAAAGCTCAACATTTTTAATTTTTTAACAATTTAATTTATTAAAATTAAATGTTTCCGTTCATCAAAATACACCAGTAATGGAGTGAAAAGCCACAGACTGGAAGAAGGTTCAGAACGTCTGAAGATATTCCTACAAGTCAACCATAAAAAGATAATTCAGTAAAAATAGGCAACTGATTTAAACACCCATCTCACAAAAGAGGAGTTCCAATGGCCAATAAGCAACAACAAGTGCCAATAAGTGGAAAGGTGCTCTACAAAATTAGTCATCATTATAGAACGTCTTAAATATAATCTATCTCTCTCTGAATAGTCAACCTTGATAAATGTGCTGTCATAATGTTTGCTTACTACTTTCTTTCCCTGCTTGATCTATTGATGATTGAGAGAAACACCTATTCTGAACTTGGTCAGTCATCCAGTTAAAAAATTATTCAGACTTGGTCACTCCTCTGCTCGAACCATCTCATGTTTTCCCATTTTTTCAGTTCAAAGCCTCCTCAGATCCCCAGCCCAACCCTCCCTTTTGCTCTCTCCTCTCACATTGCCTTCCTGCTGCTCCCTCTCTGTTCTAGCCACTAGCCAGTTCCTCTAGCTGAAATGCTCCTCTTCATGCATGGCTTCTTCCCTTGCCTTCTTCAAATTTTTGCTCAACTGTCACTGTCACAAACAGGGCTGCCCTAAACATTCTCTTTAGACTACAACTGTTAAGGACCACTCCTTATCCCTCTATAAATTGAATACATTCTAGCCATGATTTTATACTTCTCTGGTTTAAACTATAGCTTCCCTCGTACAAGGGTGATAGATTCTATTTACAATGAACAAGAAACAGCATCCATATTATAAAGAAATAACAGATGGGGGACGCCTGGGTGGCTCAGCAGTTGAGCATCTGCCTTCGGCCCAGGGCGTGATCCTGGAGTCCCGGGATCAAGTCCCACATCGGACTCCCTGCATGGAGCCTGGTTCTCTCTCTGCCTATGTCTCTGCCTCTCTCTCTGTCTCATGAATAAATAATAAATAAATAAAATCTTAAAACAAAAAAAGAAATAACAGATGGAAGTAGGAACATCACCCAGTGAAAGTACTGCTGCCAGAGATTCAGAGGCCCTGAAACAGAGCTATGCTTAGACCCTGCCTTGGGAGGTCATGTGCTTATGAAGTGGAGGAGGAAAGCAGAGTCCGAGAGACTCATCTCATCAGAGTGGGCAGTGAAAGAGTGATGGTCTCTCTATCCTCTTGTCTCAGAAGCATGTGAAGTGTCACAGGTGCCAGAGCCCTCTCTGGGAGCCCCTTTCACAAGGCATCCAGCGCATCTTCTCCTGGCTCTTGGGGATAAGGAGGCATGGGACCAGGCAGGCTGTGTATCCCCCGCTTATTAATCTCTCCTACTCAACTCCAATTTGTGCTTATGCCATACACGGCCCTAGCACAGTGTGCATCTTTGCCCTCTTTTGCACAACAGAGGACAGTGATCAAGGGGAAAATGACATCCTAAAAGCCATCACCCAAAAAAGGCAATGCATCTAAAGTTAACCATTCTGTTTTTGAACAAAGATTTGTATTTATTAATTTTCTTTATCAGGTCAAACTAGTGGCTGACAGGAAGATAAAACTAGGACCCAATGAAGACACACCTTGGGGTCACTTAGAAAACACTGTGAAGTAACCCTTGCTACCCTTCCACCCCACCCACACAACGGGAGGCCAGGAGCTTAAGTGGCTGAGTCAGGGTGCAAACCATATCTGGAGCTAACCTCTCTTAAGGAGCAGGTCAGGAAAGGCCATTTTTCGTTGTTGTCCTAAGCGAGGCTGGTAAGAAACCAGCACCAGAACTTGGGGTTGGGCAGTGCTGCTGAGCAGGCAGGCCACCGTGAGCCTCACCACAAGCCAGGCTCTCCAAAGCTCCCCTCTGCTAAGGAAGCTGCCAGCTTGCTCTCCACCTACCTGCCGTTCCTGCTCCCTGTTTGCTGGGAAACAGGCAGTGTTATTTACTGTGCAGTCTCCTCAAACGACAACACTCACCCTCATTTCATTGTACAGACATGTTGCAGAGGATGGTCAAAGCAATTTTAACACGCTGAACTAGACCTGCAGCATTTGCGTATGGAGTGGGGTGGAGAGAATGTGAATTCCTGAGGATGGCTTAGAATCCAGCAAAGCCCCTGGAATCCAAGGGTAATTAAATGAACAAAGAAGCTGGAAGACAAGGTGGATCTGGAGCAGCTAGGACACAGGACTTGAGCGGATGTCTGGTCTACCCTCCTGCTGAGAAGTCAGAGGGGACATGTGGGATCCGCCAGCACTCAGAGCCTGCCTTCAGCTCCTCAGCTGGGAAGTCCCTGACTGGGTACATGGGCACTGGAGTCGGTTAAGAGTCAGACTATGCACCAGCTGACCAGTCAGTCCTCATTTCCTTCCACTCTGCTTCATTTTGGAGAGCTCCTCCGAGAGGGCATCTGCACCACCTCTAATCAATCAGTCACCAGTCTCCATTCCCACTCACAGACTCTCGGCCCCCCAGCTCTCACCACCTCACCCTGGACTGCTTCAGTAGTCTCCAGGGTAACTGGGCCAATATCTGCTTCCAGGACTCAGGGAAAAGTTCTATGTACTCAGTCCTTGTGACTGGCTGCCCCCTCCCCCAACACACACGGCTGCTGCTGTGATCCCCTTTGTCCCCCCTCCCCCCCATATACCTGAGCTCCAGCCAAGAAGGCTCCCTTATCACCCCCTATAGAAGCCATGCTCCTCTGTGCCACCCCAACCTGCTCTGGGCCTAGTCTTTCTTCCCTCAGCTCCCAACATACTTGGACTTGCCCACAGCGCTGTCCCCTAGGCAGATGATCTTCACGTTGTCATCAGCATCGTATTTCTCTTGGTCGAGCTCACAGGGTTTGGCTCTGTCGCTGGCCATTGGCTCCTGCCTGCTGAGCCTGGGGTAGTTGTGTGCGTGTTGGGTATTGTCCCCGTCTGGGAAAATCAAGAAGAGGCTGTTGTTAAAGAGTTGAGAAATCTCCTCAACCAAATCTATTTTTTCCTCTTCCTGAACAGGAGAAAGAAGGAGCTGATGAAAGAAAGGCCTGAGGACACACTTACATCCTTCTCTATTCACCACCAGCCTGGTAGCCACTTGCTGGACTGTGGGGCTGTAATCTTGTCCCCACTCAAATCCTCTTCGGGTGGTTTACCGTGTCATCTCCTTAAAGCAGCTACGTTCAGGGCCACACCTCCCATTCCCACGTGGAAAGACAGTACTTTACAAGCTGTACATGGGCAAGCTTTCTCACTGGTAGAACAGGACAAGAAGTAGTCCCCATGTCACACAATCAATGTGAGACAGAGACAGCACTCTGTAGGCCTGAGCTTTCCTCACTGAACAGACTCCACAGCCAAAGACATCTTATATGCATTCCTGATCACCTACCTCACACCTCCACCTCCCCTTGACTTTCCTCCCTGCTGCCATCACTGGCTGCCTCTTTCTCTCTCCATGTGGGTATTCTCTAGAGTCATTTTAATCTCTACTAGTTTCCAGTATCTCCTAAATAGCGATGATGCCAAATCTGTACCTTTACTGACACTGCTTCCCTTGGCAGTGGGCTCAGTTAGGCAATTCCTACCAGATTTGAACTAATCGATTCTGCTACAAGAGACAAATAACATGAAAAAATACTTAATTCCTGCCCACCCTAAACATCAATCTTTACATTCTTCGTCTGTACAAGACACCAGCAAGCCATCTGGTGCCCACACCTGCTGAGATCTCTAGGTCTGATCTCTCTTCACTGCCAAGTATAACTTTTCAAACTATAGTAAGAATGTGCAATAGCCCAGACTCTGAGCTAATCAGGCACAGAGAAATGCCGCCTTCAGGCTGCTGCTGAGCTTTCGCCATGAGCAGACCTTGTGCTGGCTTCGGAGGAAAGGAGACACGAGGCGCGCAGAGGCTACTGCGGAAAGAGCGGTGATGGGCCGTTGCCCGCCCGACGTGGAAACTGCCAGCACAAGCCACTGCTCGCTGGCTGCAACACTGCTGTGCCTTCGCTACCCTCGGCCTCAGGAGGAGCCCCGGGGAGGGGCAGGTGCTTGCGGAGCACGGTGAGGGGCTGCCCCTTCCGCCTCCTCCCCGGAGCGGGCTAATCTGTCCCAAGGCCGGGCCCAGAGCCACCACTGCAAGCTCGGGGACCTGCCACGGTGGCGCCGTCCGCGCCATCCGCTGTGCAAGCTCTCTGCCGTTCAACCAGCATTCCCGGGGCGCTTCGCACATCAGGGAACCAACCTTGCGGGTCAGGCTGGGCCGCCGTCGCCCTCACACGGCAGCGTGGACTCCACGGCCCGTCCTTCTCCCGCCCCGGGCCCAGGGCCGGCGGATCCCAACGCTGGGTCGGCCGCCTGGGGAAACAAGGGAAGACCCGGACGCCGCAGGTTGGCCGCCGGGTGGCCATTCCCCCGCCCGGCCCCCGGCCATCCCCGTCCCCGTCCCCGTCCACCTCGGACCCCGCAGGCAGCCGCGGCTCACGCGGCCAGGCCGCCGCTTCCGGCTCGGTCAGCGTCCTCGCAGCTGCCACGCAACGGCGCAAGGACCCGGAGGAGGGCTGCCCGAGCAAAGCCTGAAGGACCCCTCGGGGCGCGGGTGGCTAGCGCGGTGCCGGGGGCAACTCCGCAGGTGACCGCGCTCTCCACCCGGGTTGGGTCGGCGGTGTCGGCCAGAGGGCTGGTGGGTCTGCGGGGAGTCCGCGGAGCGCGGGGCGTCAGCGGAGGGCGGGAGTCCGCGGAGGGCGGGAGGGCGGGAGGTCGCGAGGGCGGGGGAGTCCGGAGCAAAGGGGAGGGGCGGTGGACGCGGGGGGCACGGGGTGCGGGAGAGAACGAGGTGCGCGGTGTCCCGGAGGGCAGGTTCGGACATGGTGTGGGGGGCGTCGGGCAAGGAGAGGCTCAGGGTGGGATTAGACGTTAGGTGTTAGGGTAGGAGTTAGGAATAAAGGTTAAGGATAGGGTTAGAGTTAGGATGATAAACTAGGGTTAGGAGCTGCGGTTAGGGGCTAGGGTTACGGAATAACATTAGGGTTAGGGTTTAGGAATTAGGGGTTAGAGAAGGGATTAGATATTAGGGGTACGTTTACGATTGGAGGAAAGGAATGGGGATAGGGATTAGAGTTAGAGTGAGGGTTAAGGGTTAGAGGTAAGGCGTAGAGGAAGGATTAGGGTTAGCGGTTAGGGGTTATTGTTAAGGAAAAAAATTAGACATAATACTAAAGGTTAGCGGTTCGGTTTAGGGATAGAGGGTAACGAGGCGTTAGGCTAGTGTTTAGGGTTAGGGTATAGGGTTAAGGGGTTACGATTAAAACATGGGTTAGTGTTCAGTGTTGGATTTTAGGGATTAGGGTTAAGGCAAGGGTTGGGATAGAGGTTAGGGGTTATGATTAGGGTTTAGAGTTAGGGTTTAGAGTTAGGGGTTAGATTAGAGTTAGGGTTGGGGTTAAGGCTAGGGTTAGGGCTATACAGTGAGGGTAAGGGGTTAGTTGGGTAGCGTTACGGTTAGGTTCGAGAGTTAAGGTTAGGAGTTAGGGTAAGTGGTTAGGGTTAGGTTAGGGGTTAGGGATTAGGGTTAGGGTTAGAGGTTAGCGTTAGTGATAGGGTTAGAGTTAGGGGTTAGGGTTAGAGGGTTAGGGTTTAGGGTTAGGGTAAGGGGTTATGGGTTAGGGTTAGGGGTTACGGTTAAGGTTATGGGTAGGGTTGTTAGGGTTAGGGGTATTGTGGTTAGGGTTAGGGTTAAGTTGTTAGGGTAATGGTTAGGTTGTTAGGGTTAGATTTTTTAGGGTTGGGCTTAGGGTTGTTAGGGTTAGGGAAAGGGTTAGGTTTGGGTTGTTAGGGTTAGGGTTAGGGTCAGGGTTAGGGATTAGGGTTAGGTTTTAGGGTTAGGGGTTAGCGTTAGGGTTAGGGTTTAGGGTTCGGGTTTGGCTTAGGGTTAGGGGTTAGGTGTTAGGGTTAGGGTTTAGGGTTCGGGTTTGGCTTAGGGTTAGGGGTTAGGTGTTAGGGTTAGGGTTTAGGGTTTGGGTTAGCGTTAGTGATAGGGTTAGGGGTTATGGTTAGGGTTAGAGGGTTAGGGTTAGGGTTAGGGTTTTAGGGTTTGGGTTAGGTTTTAGGGTTAGGTTTAGCGTTAGGAGTTAGGGTTAGGGTTAAGGTTGTTAGGGTTAGGGTTTGTTTTTTTATTTGCATTAGGATTAGTGTTAGTGTTATGGTTAGGGATGGGGTTAGGGGTTAGGGTTAGGGATTAGCGTTAGGGTTAGGGGTTAGTGTTATGGTTAGGGTTAGGTGTTAGGGTTAGGGTTAGGGGTTATGTTTAGGGGTTAGGGTTAGGGGTTAGGATTAGGAGTTAGGGTTAGGTGTTAGGGGTTAGGATTAGGGTTTAGCTTAGGGGTTAGGGTTAGGCTTACCTGGTTTGGGTTAGGGTTCGGGGTTAGGGTCCCGGGTTAGGGTTAGTGTTAGGGTTAGGGTTAGGGGTTAGGGTTAGGATTAGGGTCAAGGTGGTTAGGGTTAGGGGGTTAGTGTTTGGGTTAGGGTTAGGTTTGTTAGGGTTAGGGTTGTTAGGGTTAGGGTGTTTAGGGTTAGGGTTGTTAGGGTTAGGGTAGGGTTGTTAAGGTTAGGCTTAGGGTTGTTAGGGTTAGGGTTGTTAGGCTTAGGGGGTTAGGGGTAGGTTTAGGGGTAGCATAAGGGTTTGGTTTTAGGGGTTAGTGTTAAGTTTAGAGTTAGTTAAGGTTAGGAGTTAGGGTTAGTTTTATGGTTAGGTTTAGGGGTTAGGGTTAGTTTTATGGTTAGGTTTAGGTGTTAGGGTTAGGGTTAATGATAGGGGTTAGGTTTAGGGTTAGGGTTAGGTTTTAGGATTAGGGTTGGTTTAGGGTTAGGGTTAGGAGTTATGGGTGGTATTAGGGTTATGCGGTTAGGTTTGGAGGTTAGGGTTAGGTTTAGGGGTTAGTGTTATCATTAGGGTAGGGGTGAGCATTAGGGTTAGCGGTAGGGGTTGGCGTAGGTTTAGGGTGGGGTTAGGGTTAGCGTTAGGGTTAGGGTTAGTTTTAGGGCTTAGCATAAGGGTTATGGTTAAGGGATTAGGGTTAGGATTACGGTTAGGGTTAGGCATTAGGGTTAGTTTTAGAGTTAGGTTTAGGTGTTAGGGTTAGGGATAGGGGTTTGGTTTAGGGGTAGGGGTAGGGATTAAGGCTAGGGTTAGTGGTTAGGCAGAGGGTTAGGGGTTAGGGTTAGTGTTAGGTCTTAGGGTAAGGGGTTAGGGTTAGAGTTAGGGTTAGGAGTTAGGGTTTGGGTTTGGGGTTAGGGTTAGTTGTTAGGGTTAGTGTTAGGTGTTAGGGTTAAGGTTAGGGTTTAGGGTTTAGGGGTACATTTAGGGGTTAGGGTTAGGGGTTAGATTTAGGGTTAGTGTTAGGGGTTAGGGTTTGGGTTAGGGTTAGGGTAGGGTGTTAGGGTTAGGTGTTAGGTTTAGGGTGAGGGATTAGGTTAGTTGTTAGGGTTAGTGTTAACTGTTAGGGTTAAGGTTACAGGTTAGGGTTAAGGTTAGGGGTAGGTGTTAGGGTTAGGTGTTAGGGTCAGTGTTAGGTGTTAGGGTTAGGTGTTAGGGTTAGGGGTTAGGGTTAGGGGTTAGGGTTAGTGTTAGGTATTTGGTTAATGTTATGGTTAGGGTTTAGGGTTAGAGTTTGCGGGTTAGGTTAGTGTTTAGGGTTAGGACAGGACTAGTGTTAGAGGGTTAGTGTTAGGTTTAAACGGTTATGGTTAGGGTTAGGGTTAGGTTTGTTAGGGTTAGTGTTAGGGTTATGGTTAGGGTTAGGTGTTAGGGTTAGGGTTTAGGGTTGCATTTAGGGGTTAGGGTTAGGGTTAAGGTTAGGGGTTAGGGTTAGGGTTAGGGGTTACGGATATGGTTCAGCGTTAGTTTATGTTTAGGGTTTAGGGTTAGTGTTGGGTTAGAGTTAGGGTTAGGAGTTAGTGGTAGGGTTAGGTGGTAGGGTTAGTGTTAGGTGTTAGGGTTAGTTGTTAGGGTTAGGTGTTAGGTTTAGGATTAGTGGTTAAGGTTAGGGTTAGTGTTTGGGTTAGTGTTAGGGTTAGGGTTTAGGGTTAGAGTTTGGGTGTTAGGGTTAGGGTTAGGGGTTAGATTTAGGGTTAGTGTTAGGATTTAGGGTTGGGTTAGGGTTAGGGATTAGGGTTAGGGTTAGTGTTTGAGGTTTAGTGTTAGGGTTCGGGGTTAGGGTTAGGGCTAGGGGTTAGGGTTTGGGTTAAGGTAAGGGTTAGTGTTTGGGTTGTTAGGGTTTTAGGGTTAGGGTTGTTAGGGTTAGGGTTAGGAGTTAGGGGTAGGGTTAGTGTTAGGTGGTTAGGTTTAGGGGTTAGGGTTAGGTGTAGGGTTTTGTGTTAGCATAAGGGTTAGGGGTGAGCGTTAGGGTTAGGGTTTAGGGTTAGTGTTAGGGTTAGTTTTAGGGTTAGGGTGTTTAGGGTTAGGGTTGTTATTGTTAGCGTTAGGGTTAGGGTTGTTAGTGTTAGTGGGTTAGGGTTAGGGGGATAGGGTTAGGGTTAAGGGTTTAGTGTTAGGGTTAGGTTTAGGGTTAGCGTAATGGTTAGGGTTTAGGGGTTAGGGTTTGTTGCTAGGGTTGTTAGGCTTAGTGTTAGGGGTTAGGGTTAGGTGTTAGGGTTAGGTGTTATGGTTAGGGTTAGGGTTAGGTGTTTGGGATAACGTTAGGGTTAGGGTTTAGGGTTAGAGTTTGTGGTTTATGGTTAGGGTTTAGTGTGAGGGTTAGCGTTAGTGTTAGAGGGTTAGTGTTAGGGTTAGGTTTTTAGGGTTAGGGTTAGGGTTAGGTGTTATGGTTAGCATTAGATTTTAGGATTATGTTAAGGGGTTAGGGTTAGTGTTAGGTTTAAGGTTAGGGGTTAGGGTTAGAGGTTATGGTTAGGTTTTGGCATTAGTGTTAGGGTTAGCGGTTAGATTTAGGTTTAGTGTTAGGGGTTAGGGTTTGGTTTAGGGTTAGGGTTAGGGATTACATTTAGGGTTAGTGTTAGTGTTTGAGGTTTAGTGTTAGGGTTAGGGTTAGTGTTAGTGTTTGAGGTTTAGTGTTAGGGTTAGGGTTAGCGTTAGGGGATAGGGTTAGTGTTAGTATTAGGGGTTAGTATTTCGGTTAGGGTTAGGGATAGGGTTAGGGTTAGTGTTAGGGGTTAGTGTTTCGGTTAGGGTTAGGGTTAGGTGTTAGGGTTAGTGTTAGGGGTTACGGTTAGGGTTAGGGTGAGGGTAAGAGTTAAGGGTGAGGGTTAGGGATAGGGTTAGGTTTAGGGTTTAGGGTTAGGGTTAGTGTTGGGTTAGTGTTAGGGTTAGGGTTATGGTGGGTTAGGGTTAAGGTTTGGATTAGGGTTAGGTGTTAGGGTTAGTGTTAGGGCTAGGGGTTAGGGTTAGGGTTAGGGGTTACAGCTAGGGTTAG